CAACCCAATTAAAAAATTGTCAAAGGCCTTGAATAGTCATTTCTCCAAAGAAGATATGAAAATTGAAAATAAGTACTAAGATGCTCAACATCATTAGTCATTAGGGAAATGCAAATCAAGACCACAGTGAAATACCACCTCACAGCTACCAGGATGACTGTAATCAAAAGGATGAAAAATAAGCCTTGGCAAGGATGTGGAGAAATTGGAACACTGTACATTGCTGATGAAAATGTAAAATGGTGCAGCTACTGTGAAAAACCACTTGATGGTTCCTCAAAAAGTTAAACATAGAATTACCATATGACCCATAAATTCAACTCCTATATACCCCAAAGATTTGAAAACAGACTCAAACATATACTTCTATGCCAGTTTTCACAGCAATATTATTCACAGTAGCCCAAAGGTAGAAACAACCCAAGTGTCTCTCTCAGATGAATGGGTAAATTGAAATGTGATGTAGACATACAATGGAATATTATTCAGTCTTAAAATGAAATGAAGTTCTGATACTTTAGATGAACCTTGAAAACATTATGCTAAATGAACAAAGCCAGTTACAAAATGACAAATATTGTATGATTCCACTTATATCAAATATCTAGAGTTGTCAAATTCGTAAGAGACAGAAAGTAGATTAGAGGTTACCAGAGGCTTGAGGAGAGGGGAATGGAGAGGAGAATGGAGACTTACTGTTACAGAGTTTCTGTTTGCAATGATAAAGTCTGGAAATAGGTAGTGGTGATGATTTTACAGCACTGTGAATGTAATAAATGCCACTGAATGGCACAGTTACAAAATAGTTAAAATGACAGCTTTTATGTTTTGTATATTTTGCCACAAAAAATTACAACCAAAAGAAGAGAACTCGTTTATTCTTTCCTGTTTTTCCCCACAAAATAAATTAACAGTACTTTATAATATATTCACTTTCAGTTATTAATTTTGAAAATGTTATAGAAAGAGCTTTTCACTGGTTATTTTGGCAGGAGGTCTTGAAAATCCTAGGGAGCTGCCCTGATATCTCTTTAGCAGCTGTAATCGTTACTAAATTGTCCAATTTGTTCCTTTTAATGTTTTTGTATATTTTATCAGCTTCTGAAAAGTATATCAAATTCCATTATCTTTGAGCGGTATACATCTGTCGTATCTATAAATAGTCTGCAAAACAAACATTTAATTGAACTGCACTTTAACAATTCAGCTTTGGCTAACTCTATTGTAGTTAGAGTAATGATAATGTCTGTGACATGCACATAGCAATCACAGAGAATAATTACTGGTAATTACCTTCAGGAAAAATACTTGGCAACAGATATAAAAAATATAGTAAGTAACCTAGATTTAAAGACAAATCATTAGTATTTTTTTTTTTTGAGACAGAGCTTCTCTCTGTCGCCTGGGCTAGAGTGCCGTGGCATCAGCCTAGCTCACAGCAACCTCAAACTCCTGGGCTCAAGCAATCCTTCTGCCTCAGCCTCCCGAGTAGCTG